AGGCGCCATAAATACGCATAACTAGAAACTAAACCTGCTGCCTTGAGGCGGCAAATCGAAAAATCATGCAATATGAAGTGTAATTTTTAATTCAAAAAGCTATTCATAGTTTGAAAAGGTCATTGAGACAAATCTAATGATGTATAACACAAGACTTCACCATGGGCGCTTTGCCCCGTGACACGCGTGGGCCCGTTGCCCGCCACTAGGTATCATTTCAATTTATATTGTGTCAACATTTCATTTTAAAAGCTAATAGTCTAAACTTGATCTCAAAATTATCCATATAAATATTACTTTGAATATATAATTCACAGTAATTTCAAAAGTTCATCTACAGTAATCAAAAAAAATTTATTTAGCAGCAAAAAAAATTTTATCTGGACTAAAACAGTTATTCACAAATAACCTAATAACGCAAACACTTGCGATTTTTCGCGCACCTTAATGTTCGTTAAAAAATTGTCAATGTATGCAAGATTTTCATGAATGAAGTTCTCTTCCTCATCTTGACTACGGATCTCATGGGGCAGGTCTACTTTACTTGCAGTAGCCATTGGGAGCGTGCGATACTATAACCATATACGGTGCGGAGCGATCAGGAAGAAAGCACTGTATGACTAGGCACTGAATATTCGACACTTATCACCAGTCACCACTTGGAACATTTAACTCCTTTGGTTACTAGTTAAGGCACGAAACACGACACAAAATACGAACTCGCTGGCACGGCACCAAATTATGCTGTGGGCTCACTCCAAAAGCCAACTAGGCCCAAGCATCAGCGTTAAATGCGGCTCATGATCGTCATACAAACCCAAACTCTTCGTGTTGCGAAGAGATTTCTAAGTTTATGTATTCCTTATTTAATGTTCCAAGTTCAAGCCTTAACTTTCCTGAAAATATAAACAAAACTAATCAATAAAATGCTTAAGATAACTAGGTTGCTATGAATGATAAAATATTTAAAACCAAAAAATCATATGAAAACGGTACTGTAATCTCTTCACAATATTATTTACACACGATAGTCACACTTAAAATTCTTCACTAGTACAAGACACGTGCCTTCGTCACGTCTCCGCACCAAACAATAACTAGCGCAGGGTTCCTGGATTGCGGAAGTGAACAGTGAGGTAGTCTCTTAAACTTATAATTCAAAAAATGTCTCCAATTAAAACCCTAACAATAAGATTACCATACTATGCACAACTTGCCTAAATAGAGGAATAATATCCGACTAAGAACGTATAAGGCCCTGAAATAATCACCTTGGCGGTAGTTTAGCGCATTGCGTAAACCAGTGGTTCCCAAAGTGGGCGATATCGCCCCCCTAGGGGCGGTGGAAATAGTTTTGGGGGCGGTAGCCCGAAGTCGAAGTCAGAAGTTCGAACGTTTGCTTGACGATTTGTACACAACACTTGCAGCACATGACTCCCAGCGATGGTTTTTTCACCCAGATCTGTTTTTTTAAACTCTCCTGGGTTTACATCTCGGACAAATTAATGGCCGGACTCGCGGCCGGTCTCAAACTAATGAACTTAACTCGATAAATCTTGGTACGCGTATTCATTAGGACCTAACGGTAATGTTAAGCTAGTGAATTTTTCTTTTAGTGTTGCCTTCATTTGTTTCTGCCACAGTTATATGGCAATACGGGCCGAACTTCACAGTACCGGGTACTCAAGAAATTTTTTCCAAACTATTGAGCAGATTCGAACGAAATTTTGAATTTACTGTCCTAACTACCAAACGTTAATGTTTGGCTCATGAAAATTTTTTCGATTGTGCCTTTGTTCGCGAGTTTTTTTTTTTTTTCATTTCACCTTCATTCGTGATTCAAACAGCAATATGTGCTTAAATTCGCAGTAATCAAGAAATTCCTTCCAAAACTACTGAATGGATTTGAGCGAAACTTATTATTTAAATACCTAGCCTCAGCAACGATGATGTTTAGCTCGCTACAATTTTTTCGTTTTGCCTTCGTTTGCGAGTTATACGGCTATACGTATACGGATATACGTAAACGGCTCTTGGTTAAACCGGCCGGTAGAAAAGCCGATCGTTCCTCCTATATCTGTATAACTCGCGAACGAAAGCAAAATAGAAAAAGTGTCGCAAGCTAAACATCACCGTTGAGAGGTTAGGTATTTATATTCAAAGTTTCGTTGAAATCTGTTCTGTAGTTTAGAAGAAATTTCTTGATCGCCGCGAATTTAAGCGATAATTTATCCGACGATACGGACCGAATATAAGGAAGTGTGAAATCAAGAATGACTGTGAAATTAAAAAAAAAAATCGCAAACGAAGGTAAAATCGAAAATTTTTAAAAGCCCAAAAGATTTCTAGATTCTATATAGGTTTCTAGTGCTGAAACAGTTTTAACAGCTTAAAAACATTCACTAAATGGGGTTCTATTTGTGAAATACACATTTGTGTTTAACATTAAATTGTTTAACATTCTATTAAAATTGCAGCGTACTAAATTTCAAGAAAGAGGCGTATTTTTTATATGTGTCTGTGGGGGGCGCTAGAAGTTCACTAGGGAGCCAAAGGGGGCGCCAGCCTGAAAAAAATTTGGGAACCACTGGCGTAAACTATACGCTCATAAATAAATGCGCTTACCTACACCTACTCCCTGCAATACACTAAGATACACACCAGTAAGGACACAAACATTCACTCCATCGTGTGGATGGATATTATTAGCACATCTGAACTCACACAGGCTCAAAGTTACCGGTCTTTATTTTCCCTAAACTTAAACATATCCATCGAAACTCCACAAATACGAACTTTCACGCTGAACTCCCTACTTTTTCTTCACGATCCATGCGCACACAATGTTGACAGACAAGTTCGGATTAGCCATAGTGTTCACAACTGAGCCGCTCTGTATCCTGCTTTTCAGGCCCAACGGTCATTCTTACGGTTGTCCTATGGCTGTAAGTCCACCCAGCGTGGACACCCGGAAAAGAAGAAAATATATCCTGCTTGAGGTCAATCTTTCTAATGTTATGAACTATGTCTTGTCCCAACGATGACGGATCAAAGAACGTCAATAGGTGTATGGTATTGAAATGTTCATATAGATATTTCAAATGTACGATCTATGGTATAATGTGCGCCTCGATGAATATTCCACCAAAAACTAATTGAGAAAGCAGCGTTTTGATACTTAAACGATATCTCATTAGGTCTATCAACCACACTCAACGCTAGTCTACATAGTTTTTCACCTCAGCAGGTTCTATTACCTGCTTCATCAAACGCTTCCTCAATCTCGCGTAATTACGGTTGCGTTCCTTATTCCATCATGTAGAGACCTCGACTGCTTCCAACGGGGAACTGGCGCGAAGAACTGGCAAAGATATGATTACGAAAACTTGCGTCGCATATTCTCAGCTAATACCAGCCGCGTGTATAAGCACTTTTAGGCTCTAGATTAGTACAAGTCACAGCCTCACATAACCTATCCTAAACAATACTTCTGCCCTCTAACGCTTGAGGTTATTTATCCACAACAAGTTACGCGACATCCTTCTAAATACAGAATGTAGACAAATGATGATTAATGTATAATACTTGGTTGTGGAATCGGAAATGGTTCACTCATCCTACTATAACTTATCGCTTTTATTTTTTTCATGGTTACATCAATTCGACATTTAATTAAAGCAAATACTCTGTTCGACAAATAAAATCCTAATTCTGCGTTCATCGATAATTCCAATCGAACTTGTAATTTGTTTCATGATTTTATGTAATACTGGACAGGCGAACTACGAATTTTGCAGCTTATTCATTGCCAGTGAAGGTAAAACTCGTACACTTTAATGTTACCGCTCATTCACACTAGTATTTCAGGGACTCACTGAGAGGCACAGTTGAGGGTGGTCCGTAGGAAATACTGGAATTCGCCACGTAAATGACTTTCTCGCCAGCAAGACATTAGCAAGGCTTCCTGTTGAATTGGTAAGCCGTGCAGGTTCCATTGAACGCAAAGGCAGTCATAGCTGGAAAAATTTAATTCGATTTATGGCAATTTTTTATGTGATTCACAAAGATGTGATTAACATTTTTGTGATTAACACATTGACGCCCGGCGACGTCTATAGACGTCATGCCGGTTTGGTCCAAATGCATACCCCCACCATTCTTTATTTATAGTCGGAAAAGATACCGCATATTTTGTGTCAGTTTATATCTATAATAAACGAGTCTAATGACAGTAAAAAATTTGAGTGACGTCTATAGACGTCGTGGCGCTTTTGGTACCCTCATGGGCACCAAGAACTCACGACGTCTCTTCCCGTCATGCAAAAATGAAACGCATTATATCATATAAACTTTCTTTATTCAGTTAAAAACTATAACACATCATTATTTCATGAATGCAAGTGCTATTGCAAGAAAATTAAATGTGTTTCGATGTCGGCCGCCCGCGCGAGAGAGAGAGAGAAGGGAAATGTTAGGAATCCTACCTACATAATAACTTAATGTGAGGAATCCTACCTATATAATAACTTAATGTAAGGAATCCTACCTACATAATAACTTAATGTAAGGAATCCTACCTACATAATAACTTAATGTAAGGAATCCTACCTACATAATAACTTGACCCCAGAACTGAGATCCGCGGTCAGGCATCGCGAGCTCAGCGGTGGGGCGCTCAGGAACAATCCCACTAGGAGCGCGAAATCCCATAGGACTTCTGACGAGCACAGACACCCGTCATCAAAAGTCCCTCCTGAGGGGGGAACATACAACAAATGCACAAAGAACTTCACATAGGAATTCATCTAACTAAACTCACATATACATAAATAAATTCGAATATCTATTAATAGGTAACTTAATAGATAAAAGTGTGGGATTTACCACCGACTTCTTGTTTGCGGTTAATTGGCATTAGCACTAAACCGTGCGTAAGAGCATTACATTTAACTCGTCAGAAGAGATCCGCACAACTCTGGCAAATTTACATCCTTAACTGAGAAATCACAGCCTCATTGAATTTGCAGGTACCATAAAACTACAAGTTATTATGATGTACACACCAATTATTATCCCAAACTACATGTTAATATTTTGCTCATCTTTTATTCAATATTTATTTCTGAAGCAGGAAAAATCCCAGTTATTCAAATTTAGAAGTATGAGTAAAATGCATTACAAGTAGTCATAAAATCTGAAACAATTGCTGACAGCATCAATTTACCACAACGGAAAGTCGCCATCGTCCATCCCCCAAATCAGAACGCCTAGCCTACGATCAAAGCGCCTGACATCAAATCAGCCCAAGATCAAACCGCCCGGCATCATATCGGCTCACAGGAAAACCGTCTGACATCAAATCAGCCCACGATCAAATGCCCCAGGATAGAACGGCACAACCAGAAGTTAGTTGCACGGGCGCAACGGAGCGCTGGACAATATGCATGAGGGAGTGTACCTGTACCTAAAACCATTTTTAATTTGAATGATAAAAAATTATACATATCTGGAAACACACAGTATCAAGCAAAGTAATCTGTAACCCAACATATTATCTTGAGCTGCTAGGAACGGATTTTGATTCAATCACGGGTTACCCCAAAAGCATGTTGTGATTTTAAGTTACTATCTGCTTTTGATGTGATTTTAAGTTACTAAGCTCATCTTTAACTTCGGTCTTGATCTCCATCTTTACTTTGACGTCAGAGCCCTCAGTTGACAAGGGCTCCTTCTTGACGTCCATATCCATAGGTTCTTGCTTGATGAAGTTCATGACTTCAGTTTTGTCATAAGGAAGAGTAGCTGATCCACTAGTGGCTGCAAGGACAGAAGAAGAGCTTGTCATTGTGGAGGTACATGGCAAGGAAGACTGGAGGCTCAAGTTGCTGCTGTAGGTACCAGCAGGGCTGGACGAAGCGACTATATTAGGAGCTTGGGAGATGTGTGACAGCGAAGTGTTCGAAATGTCACCTCCGCTGCACGCAGCAACTTTTAGAGGGGCAGAAATAGGGATGTTGAGGACATTCATGGCGGTTGAAGTGTAAGGTGGGGGCGCGAGCTGCGGTCTGAGGGAGTTGTTCACAGAAGGAGCCATGGTGCTGACGCCTCCAGGGAAGATGTACGTGCAAGATGGACCCATCAACGAACACGATGGAACATTAACGGGGAGAGAGTGAACTGAAGATGCCTGATTCGGGGAAAGGTTCGTATTACACTGAAGAGAGGAGGGCAGATTGGCTGGAGACGTAATGGTGATGGAGGAACTCTTACAGACCTGCTGCTGCTGCAGAGGGCTGCTTGACATCTTGATGGGCAGCGCCGTACCACGAATAAGACCACCGACAACACCTCCAGCGTTCGTGGGCTTCACCACGACAGAGCCCGTGGGTCTCGCACCATGTTGTTGTTGTTGTGATATGCCAGGGCAGCCCAATGTGTTGAAGCATGAAGACGCAGGGAAATGCCGTTCTGAGTGTAGCCCCACAGCGGCGGAGTTCCCAGAACCGATCATTGCCTGGGGCGAGGAATCAAGCTGCGGAAAATGATGAGGTTTGTAAGCATTTCTCGGGTAGCAGGATGGCTGAACTCGGACTGTATGAATAACTGAAAATTGGCAATATTTGGGAATAAGAAGAATATGAAAAGTTTCATTTAGGGTAAATTTTAGGCTGTTTTTAAGCATTAGCCAGGATATCTGAACCAAAATGATACACATCATTTCAGAATTACGCCAGCTGGAAAATAAAGTAACATAAACGTAGCCAAACAGCTAGACTCAACAAATATCAAACAAAAACAAGTAGCCTGACTCACCCTAGAGCTTGCAGGATTGAAGAAGTCGTTGCCAACATTTCCGGGTAAGTTGACCAGATTCTGCATCTTTGGGACCTGCATAGTGATGGGCTCTGGGCTCGGGGGAATGGCTTGCTCACTGCAACAAACAATAGGTTATTCTCCATATGCCATGCAAACATTTGGCCATATGTTAGTTACATCATGTCAACAAATGGAGCATATCATATATTCATGCTAGGTCATCACTTAACTTGAGATAAACAACACGACCGTGTTAGTAACATACTTAATAATAAATGATGCTCCTGGAAGTCTCTATGTACAGCTGAGTTTATGGTCAGGTGCTACGATGTATCATATCATGACATTCAAAACTGAGCTGAATATGACAGGCATAAGCGCACGTAGCGGCCAATTTGAAAAGCATTTGGTGTTTGAAAAGCATTTTTGTCATTGATTTGTTGGTGTTTGAAAAGCCCTTCGTGATTGGCTGACAGAGTTAGGAGCTTATTAAGTTTTCTGATAATACGGCCCCTGTTTGCCCTCGCACGCCGGCCTCACCTCCTGCTCCTGGACGGACGATGACAGCCGTCTTCTCTCCTCTCCCGCGAGCATCTCCTCGAACGGTCCCTGTCATTATTACCATCACGGTCTCTTGCTTCGTCTCTTCTGTCGCCGCTCCTCGAACGGTCCCTGTCATTATTACCATCACGGTCTCTTGTTTCGCCTCTTCTGTCGCCGCTCCTCGAACGGTCCCTGTCATTATTACCATCACGGTCTCTTGTTTCGTCGCTTCTGTCGCCGCGACTTCGGTCCTTCCGACCGTCTCGGTCTCGGTCAACGTTGCTGTCTCCTTGCCGGTCTGCCCTGCTCAAGAAATTCCTTTATGGACTCAACTAAATTTGGGTAATCGTGTGGGTCTCAGAAAAATTATTATCGATTACATATTGTTTACAAATCTGGATCATATCATTTTCATTTCATCAGGAAACATTTACTTGAAGTAATTTTACCATTCTGGTTTATATTATGAATGAGTTTTGGTCAACAATTGTCTTTCAAGTTGACGAGAATAAATGTGCAACATAAAGCTCCCTCACGGAGGGAGAACTGGCAGGTTTTCAGACAAAGTGCACTTTCGTGCATATTTTCTCTTATTTCTGAACTCATTCAATTCTCAAAGTAACTACTATTGAAGAATTTATTGCACCTTTCTTTGGGGTAGCGGCCGTTGTCTCGCCTGTTCTGTTGTTGCGCTGTGCTTGACTGCTTCGCCTGCAACAAACAATTTTTATATTACATGGACAACATCTTCTGGAGCCACTTGTCGAAACATTACATGTTATCTGGTGAACATAAGCAATGAACAAGAATGTCAGAGTTCAGACAACAATATTAATATTAAGTGGTAGTTGTGTCCCCATCGCAGCACACCTACAAGGGACAAGAATGGCTCAGGGATATCAGATATTGCTCAAATGAGAAGACAGAAACTGAAATGACCTACGGTGTATCTAGCCAAATAAAGATATTGATGAATCTGCTGCTTCTAGAATTTGTGTGGCACCAAGCCTTATTACCTGGTCATGATGGTCTGCTAATACACGTTTTACTTGCTCCAGATCTCGTCGTAAGAAATACAGGATCGAAAGTTGTTCCAGATGTCCAGAGAACTGCAAAACATGTCGTTGCAGCGCCTGTTGTTTGAACTGCTGCAGCTGTTGTTGTTGCTGCTGCAGCTGTTGTTGTTGCTGCTGCAGCTGTTGATGTTGCTGCTGCAGCTGTTGCTGTTGTTGCTGCTGCTGTTGTATTATCTGCTGCAGCTGTTGTATTATCTGCTGCAGCTGTGGCATATGCGGCCAAGAATCTGCCAAGACCAAGAGCATTTACTATTTACTCACTATCGGGCCATTTTTTAACAAAAAACATGTTTTTACTTGACGTTTGTTTGATATTTATCACTATATTTGCTCATGACAATACATCCACAACAAAAGTATACTATTGAGACAAAATAGAGAAGTTGGATTGAAATAGAGTTTAGGTATCCCTGAGCCATTCCTTACTTACCCATTATGGAGTCAAGCCAGGCAAGTAACCTCTTCTCTGCAGGATCAAATGGAGCTTTTGAAAAATTTTTTAATCCTCTCACAAGACTAAACTAACATCATTTATAATTATGAGTCTGGAAGGAGAAGAGCACAAGTGGGTATATAATGTAAGATGCAGTCACAAATAATAATTAAAAGTAAAGCAAAAGCTGTAGTGCACAGTAAAGCATGGCAGCAAACAAGATTTTTTAGTTGCCCCATACCCCTCAAGTCCTACAAGTAGATTAATTAACCCTTTAATGACCATATTTTTTAATAAAGTAAACAAAATTTCCGTTGTTCCGGTAATAAAGCATGACTGAGTAAGTCCTAGACGAGTGTAGTAAGTCAAAATTTATGTATTGTAAAAGAAATGAAAGGCAACATTTCAGTCCACTTGGTCTTATGAACCCCTAAATCATAGGCAACCGTATGATCCATTTATTATTTTGAGCACACAATATGGATGAATTTGTATAGTTAGCAAAGTTCATTATTGTTTTAATCATCACTTCTGCAGGCGATAATAAGTCCAAAAAAATTGCAAGAAACTCTTATTCAAGCTTAAATTTGACAAAGCAATTTCTTGTTTTCCCAAAATCCTTGAGCCTCTTGATCATGGCCATTGCCTTGCAATGTTGTTGTTTCTTGCGTCGTCACACTAGCTGGTGATAAGAGGCTCCAGTGGTGGCCGGGGGGAAGGTATCGGCAGAGGTGAGATGGGCAAAGGCAGGGGGGGAAGGTATCGGCAGAGGTGAGATGGGGAAAGGCAGGGAGGGTGGCCAGGAATGACGCCTCCTGCACATGTCTGTTCCACAAGGAGGAGACGAGGAAGGAGGAGCAGGCAAAAAGATGCTGGACGGACTGGAGAGGATCCCCGCACTCCGGGCAGGCGGTGCTGAGGGAGCGTACGACCCTAAAGGTGTAGGACGCCATGGAGCTACAGTATCCTGAGCGATCTGGGATAGCGCCAAGCGGTAGGGGCGAGGAAGTGAGGCCTCTTCTGATGCAATCTGTGGTGGTGGGGCTGCAAGGACAGCGCTATTGTAGGTCGCTGGATCGCGGGAGGCAATCTCCTTGCGGAGTGAGCACTTAACTTCTCCATAGACGCCGGCGGGCATGATGCCTTTTGCCAGCAATGGCGCAACAAAGAGGCCAAATCTCAACTGAATGGATGCTTTCATGGGGCAGTCTCAGAGGGGAGCAGAAGCAATATGGAATGAGGTATGGGAGGGCTGGAGGGCGCTCCCAAGGAACTGGGTGCAAGCCAGGTCGAGGTGAGCGGACAGGGAAGGACGCCCGTCTCATGGCGGAGATGGGCGACTGGGCCATTTTGAGGCAGCTGGTGGCTAGTCTCAGGACAGAGTTGTGGATAGTTTGAAGGCTTGCTATTAAGGTGCGTGAGGCGACAGGGTACCAGATGGGGGCAGCGTAATTGAGAATTGGGCGTGTGATTGTTCGGTAGGCGGCAATGATGTCCTTGATAAAAATCCTAGTTTGTGCCGGCAAGAACATTCAGGATATGTAAAGAATCTGTTGCTTTAGTGACTATGGCTCTGATGTGAGGTGAGAACGTGTAGTGCGTGTCCCAGGTGACGCCTAGAATTTTAGGGGTTTTATCTAGGGGATGATGCCATTGTAGATTGTGACAGAAGGGTGTGATTGGGATTGGTGAGTGTCTGGGGTGAAGAGCGTGACGGAGGACTTGCTAGATGCCACGGCCAGTTTCTGGGCAGCCGACCAGTCTGAGACGTCCCCAAGAAACCCAGCAAGTTCAGTCTCCACAACGTCGAGTCTCGGGAACGATAGAAAGATATCGGGAAGATAATGAACTCGTCTGTATACAAGGCAATACTGCAAACCGGTACAGGGATATCAGAGATGAAGTGGCTAAATAGGGCTGACAGCTCCAAAATGCTGTCGGCCTGCTTGCGGTTGCAGCGCAGCCCGAATGCGGGCCCCAATCGACAGCAAATCTTTCTGGGGGACCCGAAGCCAATGTTTTTTGGTGCTGCCGGCCTGCGGCTCCCCACGTGTGGTCGGCGTCTCTGTTGCTACCGGCGGGGGATGTCGAGGAGAACCCGGGTCCGACTTGGATGTGTGACACATGCAATAGACAAATCACAAAACGCCAATACTCATTTCTCTGTAATAGTCTTGCCCCACACTGGGTCCATAAAAACTGCACAAACATTCAACTCCACCAATACACAAATTCCTGGACCTGTCCCCAACACACTCCACCAATCCCTCCCAGGCCAAATACAGTGCCACCACCTGCATTGCAACTTGTTCTGAACCCAGCTACTGCATCCCAACCTCCTTTATCCCCACTAGCCACATCATCTAACAATCTCACACAACCCATCTCTCCACCAATCAGACCCCGAAAAACACCCTCTGATATCAAAATAATGCAGATAAATATAAATGGACTCACAAACAAAATAGAAGACCTTAAACTAACCACAAAACAACATGACATCGACATCATCACAATCCAAGAATCCAAACCTAAACTGACAACTCGCACACCCACTATACCTGACTACACTGCTATTCATCTAGATAGGGCACACAAGACAGGAGGTGGACTCATCACCTACATTCATAATAACATAGTTTTCACAACTACCACTATTCCTCAACACATCAACCAAGAAGCCACTGAAACCCAACTAGTCAAAATAAGTCTCTCTAACAACAAATTCATCCACATAGCTAACATATACATCCCTCCCAGGGACACACGCCTACCATGCCATCACAACCTAGACCAACACATCACTGACTGTTTCACATACCTCCTCAACAAGCACTACACCATTATTACAGGAGACATAAATGCTCACCACCCATCCTGGCACTCTCCTAACTCAGACCATATAGGCAACCTCATCAACACACTTATACAAAACTCCAACCACATCATTCTCAATGAAAACTCACCAACACGCATACCCACTACAATAGAACAGCAACCCACATCACCAGACATATCTACAGCCTCAAACGTCATCTCAAGCAAGATAACATGGTCAACTATCACAGCTCTCAGTTCCGATCATGTTCCTATCATATTGCACTTTTGTACCAAAATCAACTACCACATAAAAACCTATAACAGATCTTTCACAAATTACCACCTAGCAGACTGGACAGCTTACTGGCAGGAAATAGACCAAGCACTCCATGACACTCCAGCGCCCACCAACATTCACATTGCCAATAAGATACTCACTGGACTCATTCTACAAGCAGACAAACACCATATACCCAAAGGAAAAAAACAAAACAGACACCTCTACCCCAAGCCATCAGACAAAATACAAGAACGCAACCACATCAGGAAACAAAACAGACATGACCCAGCTATCCGACAACTCAACAGAGACATAGACCTTAAAATAAAAACGCACAAACGCAACCTATGGAAAGAGCACCTTGAGCAAAACTGGAATAACAAACACAACACACACTTTCTCTGGAAGACAATCTCATCACTTTCAAATAAAACACCACACCAAGAACCAAGCAAAACTATACAATTCACAAACACAACAGCATACACCGACAAAGAGAAGGCAACACAATTCAACAAGCAGTTTATAAACACCAAGCCGCACCAAACCTCACACAATAACAGGATAACAGATAGAAGAATTAAATCACTAAAGGGCAACCTAATATATATAGCAACAGCCATGACCACACTCACCATAAAAAAACAGTAAAAATAACAAATCAACTGGACCAGACCACGTCAATATACCCCATCTCAAACACCTAGGCCCCACAGCAATTTCATACCTCACTCAAATTTACAATATCGCAATAAACTCCGATACAATACCCCAGATCTGGAAGCTTGCCAAGATAATTCCAATACATAAACCTGGCAAAGACACTAACATGGGGTCATCCTATAGATAATTATCCTTGATACAATCTCACCTCATCTCCCTAACATTGAACACCAACATGGCTTCAAACAACACCATTCTACCATCACAGTACTCCAACATATCACAGTACACATTGCCACAGGTTTTAATCAAAAACGCCCACCACTTCGAACAATAGCCATAGCATCAGGCATGAGCAAAGCATTTGATACAGTTAATCTGCACACACTCATCAACAAACTTTCCACAACCGCAATAGAGCACACTACACTTAAATACATAGCAAATTACATCAAAGGCAGAAAAGGCTTCACACAAGTAAATAATACCAATTCAAAACAGAAACTATTCAAAACAGGCGTACCACAAGACGGAGTCCTATCACCCAAACTGTTCAACATATACATTTCAGATATACCCTCACCTCCACCCAATATTAAAATAATTACATATGCAGATGACATAACAATCTTATCCTACCACAAAGACTAACACTGCTGCACAAGTCCTTCTTCCATACCTACAAACCATACACACATGGACCACAGACAACCAACTACAACTCAATGCAACAAAAAGCACTGCCACTCTTTTCACACCTGACCCGGCCGAATATAGCACACAACTCAACCTCAATATCAATAACACACTCATTCCAACAGTACGCAACCCTAAAATATTTGGACTTCAGCACACACATTAGTAATACTCACAAGCACACACATTACCTTCAGCGCACACATTAGTAATACTCACAACAAAGCCAATAATATCATCAAAATAATCAAATCACTTACAGCCACACAAGGGGGAAAACAAAAAGAACTACTCACAACCACATTTCAAACAATCAACCGTCCAATCCTTGAATTTGCAAACTCATCCTGGTCACCAATTATATCACCCACGCACATGAACAAACTCTAAACAGCCCAGAACGCAGCACTCAGGATAGCCACAGGCTGTACCGCAGACACCAACATCCATCACCTTCACCAAGAAACCAAACTCCTACCCCTAACACAACACCTCAAACTTCATGCCTCACAACTCAGACAGAAAGCACAAAACCCAACCCACCCACTACATGCCCTCACCCTTCAGCCGCACCCACACCGTCTCACGAAACAACCCATTTTCCATAACTCAGGTTTCACTACCAACTTAGATACTCCGCCTGCACAAGCTACACAGGACACAATCAAACAAAATCTCAAAACAAACTACACTACAATCACAGAAAACTATCTTGCAACCTTCCCTCACAATAAAATTTTAAACATTCCCACACCACAGATCCACCCATCTGAAATCAACCTACCTAGACCTGCATGCAGGAACCTTGCCCAACTTTTCAACAAATAAATCACCGCTACATCTCTCATACCTAAATAAAATAGACACTGCCACACATCCTTTTCCACTTTGCCCACTCTGTCTATCCAACACGCACGGCACCATTCATCTTTTCTCCTGTCCTGAAATGCCCACATCCCTGTCGGTGGGTGACCTTTGGGCAGACCCCGTAAACGCCGCGGGGCTGCTGGCCCGCTGGGGCGACCAACTTGGCTGGCTCCAGAACTGACCCTCAAACAACAACAACAATAGGGCTGACAAAATGACAACCTTGGAGAACTCCTGAGTTTATTGTTCTGAAAGGAGATTGTGTTCTGAGGTAAAGGCAGGATGCCAGCCTGCCTCTGAGATAGCAGCACAGTGGGCAGACCAGGTTGTGGAGTAGGTCCAAGGCTGAAATCAGGCTTAGAAGGAGAGGGTGGTCGACACTATCAAAAGCTTTCAACAAGCCGACCGCAGCTGCCACTGTGCGGGCTGTAGGCTGCTGTGAGTTGAACCCCGGTTGCTGTGGAGTGACCTGGTTTGAAGCCATGTTGCGAGGGAACGGTGATAAGTGATTCTGAGATTTATAGGAGTAGAAGTCGCTCAAGATCTTGACTGAATGGCAAAGGAGGGAGATGGGGCGGTAGGAAGAACCCTTTCTTCCAGGTTTGCCAGGCTTAAGGATTGGAATAATTATTGAATTTTTCCATATAGAAGGAATACAAGCCGTGGAAACGGAGCTATTAAAAATGCAGGTAAGGAACTGGAGGGCACGTGGGCCGAGGTGCTTTAGGTGAAGGACGGTGAGGCTGTCTGGACCCCGAGCGGATGAATTGTAGGCGGCTTTGATGGCGAGCTTCAACTTGTCGGGGGTGAAG